AAGAATGGGGGTCAATGGCCCGCAGTAGGGGAAGGCACTGGCTGTGCTGTGCTGTGCACCGTGCCAGAGGTAGCCACCCAGCTCCCACCTACCTTGGCCATGCCACCTAATGCACAGGCTTTGAGATGATTTGGCAAGATTGTTGGCCTTGGTTGCCCAGATGGAGGAGCAACACTGTCACAGGTTTGGGGTGGGGTCAGTGTTCCACAGTAGGCCATTGAGCTACCAGGGCAGGAGACCCCCACCCCCTAATCTCCCGGAACAGCACACCTCTTGGGGCTTCAGGTACTGTAACAGTTTCTAACAAGGTACAAGTGGGTGATACAGGTGCCAAAGCTCAGGGATATGCTGAACCTGACTGGCCTGTTAGGACTCATTTATCTAAAGTGGCAAAAGAAAAATATGGAAAGAGCAGTTTGTGGAGTTGTTCCTCCTACTTTTTCCATGAGGATCTGGCTGAGGACACGTGGGGAAAAAAGGAAAAGAAGGATGAAGACAAGCCCCAGGTAGCCCAGACCCTTAAGAATCGGACTGTCATTTCACATACAAGAGAGTATAATTTGTGAGAGAAACCCTGGGAGGAGTGTTTATGAGAACATAATTGCAAGGGTTCACACTACATAGGGGTGCATGGCATGAGTAAGGTACAAAAAGGAGTTTAGACAGAGAGTGGCAGAAGTCAGAATTGTCATGGGGGAAAAAGAACTAAGATCTCTGGCTTGGCCATCCTGCCCAGCTGTTTTTCCAGACTGTGGACTGCCAGTGCCAAGCCACAGGTCCCAATTGCGGATATCAGTGTTAGGGACCAAGATAGAGGTGGTCTGGCCTAATATTCAGAGCTGGTATCCACATAGGGGAACAAAGCCAAAGGTTAGCAGCAGAGTCAGCTGCCAATTACCAGATCCAGGAGTCAAGCCTGAATCAGAACTAGGAATCGAAGCTGAGAGTTGGAGCCAGGGTCAGATACTATAGCATCCTCAGCTGCTATAAATCAATATAACTCAGTTGACATCAGTGGAACCTGTCATTTACATCAGGTGAGGATACGGTCCACTGTTTCTACTAGCTCAAATATAAAAATTCTATACTACTTCCCTGAAGAGAATCACCTAAACAACTGAAGTCTTGAAGCACAAAACCAAGCAAATATTATCCAGGATATTATACACTTGTACTTCCAGTCTAATTAGTGTGTACAGAAAATTAAAATATAAATATGAATATATTTTTAATACTATTCCATATATACAGCAACTTATGTGATCCTTTTCAATTTCCATTGTTAAAAATCACTGTAAGGACACAGTCCACATGATGGACTAGCAGCCTCCAACTTAATTTAAATTGATTTAGTAAAAAAAAGATGATTGCAAGAAAGCATACAAAAACATGTTAGTGGGTTTTGCAATAGTCCAGTTTTACAAAAAACAATGGGATTCAATTTGAAATTTGTGGAAGAAAACAATACGACCATAAAAAAAGAGTTAGCCCTAGATTGTCGAGCTTGTCAATCAATTTTCAAGTTTTAGAATGTTCTTAGTCAAGTGAGAGGCCCAGGAAGAGGTGAGGGAGTTCACACAGGAAATGAATATATTAGGGACCAAGATAGTGCAGTAGATAGTCAGGGTTCCTGGGTCTTATTCTTAGCCTTTCAGTGGTTAGCTGGGCAACCTCAAGGAAGTTAATCACTCTATTTCAATTGAGTCATCTGTCGAATGGATGATACATACTGCGCCAATCACACAGGAGTGTTGTGAAAATTAATTTGTGTGTTTTGCGTTCAAAGTATTATTTTTTACTATCTCCATCTAAGCAGCAGAATTAGAATATACATTAAAGATTTATGCAATATAAAATATTGTTTATAGGAAAAATGTTACATGCTGAACTTCAGGTACAGGATACATAATTTAACAGAATTTACTTAAACTATTTTTAGTCTTACTTTACTAGAATTATTCTGAATTGGAAGGCTGACAAATCAAATATCTGTAAGAGTGAAAATAGCCTTCAAATGCTCACTCTTCTCAAAACAGCATGTTAATTCATGTGTAATTCCTATGCTATACCCTGTTTATTTTTCAGAAGTCCATTTCTGAAATTATATTAACAGTCAGCTTGAGAGGAATCAAAATGACTATGTATGTTACAGAGGTGTGTTTTGTTACTGGTATGAATACTGCCTTATATCCATCTCTATTATATACTTTTAATGTCACTGTAGGACAAATTATCTTCTTCCTCACATTGGTGAGCAGCTATTCACATGAGCAATTTCACCGAATTCAAGTCTATGGGACTACTTGTGTGCGTAACTGGTCACCAATGCATGAATGGAGGTCATATGCTAAAATAATGAGAGATTCAAATCCTGCCCTGGCTGATGCAGGCAGGAGATGCCTGGATGCTGTCTCATGTTACATCTCCTGCCACAATCCTACCAGCGAGGGCAGGATTAGACTATTGTCAAGTGTAAGAGTTCAAAAGTCTGAGTCAGGCCTCTAAAAAATCATGACTGACTTTAAAATCACAATTTGAAAAAAAAAATGTTGAATTTTTTGTTATTTGCCTTCTGGTTTTCAAGTTTAAGGTGAAATTGGGTTACAGTTTCCATCTTTTCTCCATAACCGTGCGCTGTTGACTGCACTTTATGTACTGACCGATGGGTGTCTGGCCGCAGATACTTGCCAGCAGACCTTTCCCCCTTGGAGCTGCAGTGTACAAACTGGCATAGTAACAGGTCCACATTTCTAGTGCTCTCTCTGTCCTGCTGCTTTTGTGTGAAGGAAGCATCTAGCTCCTCAGCTAAAACAGTTATTTATCTGTATTGTACCTGTTGTTCTTTGAGATGTGATGCACACAGAGGTCATGCATGTGAGGGGAGGGGGCATGCATGGTCATGTGCCCCTGCTGCTGCCCTCACTCTGCCCCCTACTATCAGCAGGTATAGGTAGTCTCTGGATGCGCACATGTATTCCATGTAGGTGTGTGTGCCTCCAGTGTCCCGAAGCCAGAAAACTTTGCCTAGCAGTACCCACAGTGGCAGCGCTCATGCCCTATGGCCCTACCCCCTCCTCTGGGTGTATAAAGGCAGCACTGCCCCCCCATCCTCCCTCAGTTCCTTTGCACCAAACATCAAAAGTAAGGACCTCAGTGCAGAAGGGATGGAAGATGGGTTGCAGAATACAGGTAGGAGGGGGCTCTGGGTTGGGGCAGGGGTTGGGATGCGGGAGGGGGATCAGGGCTCTGGGGTGTAGGCTCTGGGGTGAGACCAGGGATGAGGGGTTTGGGGAGGGCTCGGGGCTAGGGCAGAGGGTCGGGATGCGGGGGGAGGGTCAGGGCTCTGGGTGCAGGCTCTGGGGTGGAGCCAGGGATGAGGGGTTTGGCATGCAGGAGGGGGCTCTGGGTTTGGGGGGGGAGGGCTCAGGGCTGGGGCAGGGGATTGGGGCACAGGCTTACCTCAGGTGGCTCCCAGTCAGCAGCGCAGCTGGGGTGCTAAGGCAGGCTTCCTGCCTGTCCTGGCACCGCGGACTGCGCTGCGCCCAGCAGCAGGTCCAGCTCCTAGGTGGAGGCACATAAGTGGCTCAGCGTGGCTCTCGCCCACAGGCACCGCCCCCCAGCTCCCATTGGCCAGGAACTGGCCAATGAGAGTGTGGAGCCGGTGCTTGGGGCAGGGGCAGTGCGCTGAGCCCCGTGCCCTCCTCCCCTCCCCAACCTAGGAGCCAGACCTGCTGCTGGCCGCTTCCGGGGCACAGC